ATTCCATTAGCGACAATTTGTACAAAGATCCATAGGAGCGGAAGTAGATTCAGAGATATGTAAATTTGATCCGCTTTGATGGGGAATCAGCATGGAACTAATCTCAGAGTCCTGAGCTGTGTGTAGTAGTCGTCGTGGTGGTGCGCGATACCTTCACCTCTTATCTCCACTAACCCCTTAGGTCAACAGTATGGGGTCGCATTATTGAATTGACAGTGATTTATGCAACAAACATTTCCGATTGTACTTTGACTCTCGTTTACACCATTCCATCTCTAAATGAGCAAGCAAACAGACCAACTAAGTGCAGGTCCGCACTACTGCTCGCTTTATTCATTCATTCATTCATTCCACTCCCCACGTGGTGGCGAACTAAACTTGGTTTTCGCAGGAATTCGCACAAATGAGGGGTCCAGTAATTCATATGAAATTTGCAATTTTTTATGATGAATAAAATATGCGGTATTGCTTGATTTAGCCACAATTAAAATTCAGAGGGCAGGTTTTCCTTTCATTAATTGGGGATGATTGGCCCTGGAAAGGAGAATTTTGCTCAGAAGGGGGACGTATCTTTAGTTACAAAAAGTTTATTGTTGGAGCAAGAGCCACAGGGTCCAGTTAGTGTCTGAGGAGTGTTTCTCCATTATCCTTCCCACTCCCTTTGTTGTCCAGCTCAGCACGGTTGGAGACCTGGACTTTGGTCTATTATTCTCCGAGAGAAATGTTGTCCGGGTCCATAACACCCAAAATACTTCCCCCTCCATTCGCCCTCTCTCTGTTTCAATGTTTGCTCTTTCCTCTAGGAGGTAGAAAGTTGAATGAGCTATCGTGAAAGCTATTTGTGTGTGTGTGAACCACCAGCAATGACAATGTTGACGAGTCGTTCGTGGGGACATTGAATGTCATTCGAGTTATTTCTGGTTGCACACTTGGAAATGGGCAGTTTTCACCCTGGTTGGATTTGTCTTAAGCAAAACCAGAGAGAAAAAAAGCTCATTCTTCACACGACTGAAAATGTGCATGAATTATTATGAATTATTCTGCCAAATTATTTAGTTGCATCATTGTCCGGATAAGAAGTGAACAACTTCATATATGCAATTTTTTAATTTTTCCATGCACAAATTCCACACTTATTGTCATAATATTCGTCACATCATCTCCAACTTTGAGCATTTCTTGGATAGTATTTTTAAGCAAATTCCAATCTACATTTAGACTCGCGACTCCTCCCTCTAACAACATACTCGAGCTCCGTGGAGGTGGAGGTGTATATTTATGACAAGGGAATGATTGCAGTTACTTCACTCTGGTGGGATTATAAATTGCATGTGCCATTGAGAGCGTACAGCGATACAAAGTGGAGTTGGACGTTGACGGATTACTAATTCCATCAAGAAAGAGAGAAGAGAGAGAGAGTGCAGAGGGAGAAGAAATCGCCAGTTGGTACGAGGCCAAATGAACTCGAATAATGGTATCGCCATTCCTATCCCATAGTCCACACATTATTACTGCCATAATATCCAATCCAGGTGCAGAGGACAAAGAGGTGCGGAAGTGAGCACAACGCAAATGTAACAAAACGCAACAAACGCGACGTTACTGACGTTACGTCGCCTTGGTCGTCCCAGCCCCCGCAATCCGTCTCAACGGAGTGGTGTCATCAAAAAGTATGCATTTTCAGATACTCCTGCTCATTAAAATTTTGAAACTAACAAATTTTTTAAAGTTTCACAATGACATTTGAACCGGTTGTGTGTTTTATTGGGAGCAAAAATCTCGGTCTCGGCATTATTATTCATAGATGATTCTTTTTCCGCGTTATTGTATTGGAATTGAACCAGCAACCTGCATTCACTTCACAATTCAGAGAAACTTAGCTCAAACAACAACATTTCAGTGGTACGAGAATAACAACGCATAATAATGTACAGCGTGCAGCTTTGTCCTCTTAATGGGGCAGTAGTGATGTGGTGGTTTGGCATCGTAGTTGTGTAAGTACGAAGAGGGTGAGCACCTTAAGAAAACAATTTGTTATGTCGAGCGTGGAGTCTCACCTTAAATTAACTCGCACTCAATTTCTTCCCACAAGCGAGACCCACCATGCAATGCAACTTCCTTCTCTCGCCTCAATTTTCCAATCTTTCTCTGTCAATAATAATGGGTTTCGTCCACCTTTCACGGGTTGACATCATCCACTCTCAACCCGTCACACGTCCCACTCTTTCTCACCTAAAACATGAGGCTCCTTCTTCACAGCGTCACCTCTTTTTGTAATTAAACCCCACTTCAAACAAAACATGATTACAGGCTTCTCGGAATAAGTCAGGGGGAACTTTTGCATACTTTAATTCGATGCGATGAACAACAATGCGGAAATGGCCAATTTTATGGGTACATGATCTTAGAGTAGGTGGGCAATCAAAAATCAGAAAGAATATTCATTCACTCCACATAGAAAAAGCATCATATTTCATAAAATTTCGATTCACAAAATTACTTTTGTGAGGATTACATTTTTTTTAAATTGGAAAAGTAAAAATCGTAAAAAAACGAGTACTACATATTTCTCTAGTTCTCCAAGTTAGTTGACTTGCAAGTCGAATGAAGGAGAAAGCAACTCTCAAACTTCGACGTTGACATGCTCTACTGTGTGAAAATTGAGAAAGCAGGGAAAACTCGTTTTCCCACTTCCTTCCCAACTTTGCAGATGTCTGCACTTGATCTCGGTATGCATATCGTTGAGTTTATCAAACTGCGGAAAACCCGTTTTACTAAATTAAATCAGTAATTGCTAACGACTGCTAAGCATGATTGTGAATGTTACAAGGTCAATAAAATGTACCAAGGTCGGAGTGCAAATGTTATTCTTATATGACATCATCACGCCGAAAAATAAAAATGGGTAGTTAAACGTATCCATGTATGTACATAATAGTTAGTCAATTCATCAACCTGATTTTTTAATTTTATAAAAGATCACGCAATTACGTAATGCAAATTATGTTACATCCGAGAAGAAGATCCAACTTTTTTAGGATACACAAGTCATGTCCTATCCTAACACTACATATAAAAAGCAAGCATATTAACCAACCCAATCCAAGAATAATTAATGATAACTAATCATCCAACGCGAATACAAATTTGCAATAACAATGACGACGGATCATTGTCAGCCCAAGATTTTGATCATCTCAAATCAGATAAGTATTCCAATCGTATATAATAATCGATGCGCCGGAATGCACTTTGTCCTCTAAAAGGCAAACGTTGCTGTAAAGTTATGCGTCGCCGTTGACGTATTAAATAAGCAATGGAAATTTATACCATGTCTAGACGCATATGTTTTAACGTAATGTAGTTATTACAATAATTACGGGTTCTCAACCAATCAAAAACGTACTCGTTTCAGTGTTTCGACAGGCTTAATTCAACAAACAAATTCCAGTTCCATTGTCTCAAAGTCATTAAAACTGGGTCGATAAAAACTTTCTAATTATATTAACGAGGAATATTTTCAATGTTTACATAACATAAAAAGTGGCGTGATTCTGCAGCGTTGGTTTCTTATCAAGAATTATTTATTTTTAGCTTTTCTTTGTTACAAATGAAATAATTGAATAGTAGCAAACCCACCAACCAATCTCTCCCGAGTAATATGACGATTTTCATATGACATGACCCAATAAGAGGGTCTAATAAAATATTAGCCATCATATATGCACATACATAAAATTCAGCCAAGTTTTTTTCTCATGAGAAAGAAGAAGAGCCCACATTTTTATTAATCAAAGCCCGACACGAAAGCCATACATTATCCGCCGTGTCTTGTATGCCCATGAGTTAATGCAGGAGGAAGAGGCTTCTCAAGTGACAATATTTTAGGTACTCGTCACGAATATTGCGTTGCAAGGCCTGTCTTAAAAACGATGCCAACCTTATAAATAGACGATGGTGGAAATTTGATCTTGTTTTTAGGATTGAGAACATCATAAACATGAATCATACTTTTATGCACCTGTGACGCCTTAAATCCTGGCGAGGGAGGTTCTAAATAAGATGGACCGAACATATCTCAATAAAATAGTTGTTCTTTTTTGTAATAATTGATGGTCTTGTTTTATTCGACTACTGGACTTTTAATCATCATCACCAATGTTTCGGAAGATGGTTTGCTGGTTAGTAAGTAAGCCCAGTAGTTTTCTTTGAGGTACTCCACATACTTATTTCTTTAGGAGCGAAAACTGGTCCGGTTTGATCTGGATTTTTTGTGTACATTCTACACCAGAATTATGCTGACATGATTCCTAACCTCGACCATAGCATTGTCATGCATGCCACAATTTGGTGTGCAAGTAGCCAAAGCTGTCCGCACCTCCTCCGGTTTGATGAATGGGAGGGAGCCGTGTAGTTGGACCAGTACGTGTGCCATGCAAAAGATTCGCGATGTGTGTGAACTATGACGCATGCAATGTTATTATTTTATTCGCACAAATTCGCCCAGCACTGACACCCAATTAGCAACACTTGCAAAATAAACAATCCATTCTACATGCATTCTTATCCTTACTGTACCGGAGTTTGCGAAATGTTTTTGCCATTCTTAGGCAAAAAAGCCGTGTAAATGGCAAAGAGAGAGAGAGAGAAAAACTGCATAAATACGCTGGTAGATTCCCCAACCCGTCTCCTATTTATGTCATATTACTATCGTTCGTAGTACTACTACTATCGTGCCGTACTCGAGACTCTACTTGTTACATGGCCCCGAGTTGCAAAGTTGCTTTCGAAGGGGCATTAATAATCCCACGGAGTTGCAAAAGCAGTGCATGGCATGGATTTGGCCTCTCTCTGGGAGCGAAATGCCCATGTTTGCCTCGACCCATTCATGGATTGTGAATCCCCTCTCGCTCGTAATTACAGGCGTCATCATTGTAAAGACCAAGTATAAAGTTTAGAATTGCGAATCGCAGAGCCGACGAGAGTAAAACGACCGGACGAACGACGCCGGCTGGATCGGACGGACGGAGTGAATTTTGTTGCTTTCAATTTACATTTGCACACACACACAGAGCCCATTTTTATATTGTTATTTTTTATTAATACGAGACGTACATATATCTCTACGCCTGGTCGAAATTCCGTTCTATACCTCCTCCTCACCATCTGTTTGTTCCTAGTACCCGTGTGCTGTGGGTATATCCTTGTGCATCTATTTCCTCTATATATACATACATACATACATAATATGTATCTGGCACACTCTGTTATACAAGCCCTCGTCGTGGCTAGCAAGCGTTGTTGGCGCATTTTTTACTTTCGTGGACGTTGACGTTTCCAAATAAATTTCTTAAAGAGTTCCAGCCTATAAATATTCGTAGATGGACAATTCTTCTCCGAACTCCGTGTCAATACACTGCTCCTCCTTTGTCATCATCGGACAATTAAGTAAAAGGAATCCGTGGGTCGGTCGGTAGTTAAGTAAGTAGGGAGTCCACAATAGGTTGGTCATCTCATTACAGTTCCGACTTGCTATACCAAGTGTGAGGCTGTTGTTGGTTGTTCCATTTCTATTACCAATCGCAGAGAGAAAGACTGGTCCATGGGTCTGGCTTGGTATTACCACGAAATGTTTGGTGGCTGATGAAAAAGGAATCAAAAAGAGTGGTGGACCGGACCGGGTGACAAAAAGAACGAGCCGACGACGACGAGGTACAGTACTACTTACCACACACTGCATGATGATTTTATGGTGATGGTTGTTAAATAATCGGAATATATATTGTTATTCATTATGTGAGTAGTCGTGGTCGTGGTTGCCTCTTGCCTTTCCCAATTCATCGATTGATTACAAAGAGCCCACTACTTACTACAAGTTATACACATTTTGATTACGAGGTTGGGATATGATGGCAAACCATGCAAGCACACAACGGAGATGATGGCAATGTATTTTCGCAAGTCTCCTCCTCCATCTCAAATATAAACACGTCGAATTCTCATCTCATCTCGGGGCGACGTGTCCGTTGCTGTGTGTAGTTGTTGGCTACATAAAATAGTATACTACAGACATTGATTAAGATCATCTCATCATCATCACCCTCACTTCCCATCACTGCCTGTGTTGGTGGTGTCCGATCCCGTGGCGTGGCGTCCCTTAATTACCTCTTCTTGAATCGCTTCGTGTGTTCTTCTGTACTGAGAGTGAGAGTGGGTTCAGGTAAAAGTGGTCCACTCTACCACGAGTGTCAGGTCAGTGAGGAACGCTAATAAGTTGATAATTGTCCCACCCCCTACCGACCGATCTCTACCTGGATTCTACACACGTCTCACTCCTGCTCTCCTCCACACACTGCTCAGGTGAGAAAGGGCAACATACATACAAACCGATATCATCAACATTGTTGTTAACCCTTCTTCTTGCATGGGGACACCTTCATTAACACGAGCATCGAGTAAAACGAAACACGTTTTGGTGGTGTGTCACTCACAAATTAATAGCTCCTCATTCTTGGGTTGGTTACCTTCTTTTGCAGAAGCTTCCTCCTGCTGGACTTTGACTTCAGCTACTTATTTCGGCTTCTTCTTTCACGTCCTGGTGAGTCTTGATCTCCATTTCTTTGCATGAATTTACATAATGGTGTGTTACCTGGCTTTAAAGACGGGTCATGTATATTGGGTGTATGCATGTGTACGTATGTATGTAAGTGTCTTACTCACATGCATAATTGCATGGTAATTGTATGATTTAATGTATCATTAAGACCACGTTGGTTTACCCTCTGCATTGATTATTTAACACACTAAACATAATAGTGTCCCGACCTGACGCATACGACAAAATATATCTTGGAATAGACTGTTTCTTTCGCGAGGATGCTTTTTGGACGTGGGAAAACAACTTTTGAACATTCATCCATGCTCACTCTCGTTCCGTTCTCTCTACTTGATTACTTATATAAACTTCAAATAAAGTCGAATAATTATACTAGAGAGTGAATTATAAATTATAACAAATGTTCCAAATAATTAATAAACTTGACCCTTCCTGCTTGAATCCATTATATTGACCGGGTTCATATTCTTTTCGGTGGTGTTCTCTTCGGTAGTAAATTGGTGAGTGAATTTTACAAATTATTTTTGAGAAAAAAAACTGAAACCTTATTTCCATATTTGTATTTATTATTTATTTACACATTTTAAAATTTCAAAAAACGTATTTTGGTCTTGACCCACGCCGGTTTTCTTTTCAAGTTACAGTCAGGAGCAAAATTATAAGGCCACCTATTCTTTCATGTTACAGTCAGGAGCTTAGCATATATCACATAAGTTATAAAAAATTGTAAAATATAAAATAATTAATTAAAATTTAAAATCTGCTAACCCATCTAAGTTTGTATATTTATTAAAATCTATAGTTAAGTAAACTTGTTTTACCAAGCAAAACACCTTTTCTCGCACCAATAAAATTTACTACAATAAACCGTCGTAAACGCATAAAGAAGTAGCTTCAGTCTCACTTCACCCCAACCACTCCCACCACGAAATCGCTGGAACACTGTTTCATCTAGAGTCAATGTAAGTGAAAATCTCATTTTGCCCAGGCCACATCCCCTATAGAGGTGTGGCACATAACGGAACATGAAATTTCAGTGTGTTTCGTGTCTGGAGTCATTTTCAGTAAAAATCTCATTTTGCCCCGGCCACACCCCGAGGGGGTGGTCCGGTTAATCCCAAAAGTTGATAGGATCCTCCCCATGTGATCATATGTACGATGGCCAAAACCGATTTTCGTTCAGATCATTTCTTGTATTGTATAATGGTGCACACTTTTATGTGTGGACGTGCTCTGGTGCTAAGTGTTGGAAAGGCCCGTGCACCGCACCAGGTTGAGGCGAATTGAGCTATCTATGTGGACCTGACGCACTACATCCAACTCAAATACACTGACTCGCATGATTTCATTTTCATGAATTATTTCTTGTTGCCCATCATCATCCGCTTGCTTGGCTAATCTCTCACTTTATAAGTAGACACCGCGCCGAGACTGGCCATGCATGACGTGTACATTTACGCGATAAGCAGGTCGGCAAGCGCATATCTGGGCAATGTCAACATTTCCTATTTCCTAGCGTAAACTAACCATAGTAGTAGCCACCACAAAATAGGAAGCATTTCTGGCCAACGTAGCACACGAACGGCCCTTCATCACTAAATATCACAGCAGCAACACGGGCGGGCACTACCCCATCCTGCATGCACTGCACCTCTGCTATCGCACAACATAATAGTGACACACATACAATTGTACGTTGCCCACCCACCGCACCGAGGTGGTGACAATGCTGTGTACATGAAAATCGGATATTGGTTTAGATTTGCATCGGTATTTAGTACTATGCGTAGTAAGTAAGGACCATGGCCTGTTACCATGGAGAGGTTAGGTTAGGTCCATTCCAAGATTGTTTGTCATATTATGCAGAACTGAATTTGCAGAACCTTCTACATGAGCCATGTCAGCCTTCCGTCTTCATTCCGTGTCTGGAGGAGGCAACAACCCCACACTCTACCAGCAGCCCTTGTGTGAACGCGAATTCGGTGTGAGGGCAGCTTTACTAATGAGCGCAGGAGTTCCATTTGGTGGGAGCAGCAGCAGCAGCAACAGCATGAACACCAGCAACGGCAATAGTCTGAACAATAGCGGAAACGATATCAACATGCGACGAGGTCAGGTCCTGGAGGTGCGACCCTACGTGATCGCCAAGAACTTTAACAACTTCGTCATTGATGATCGCCGAGTGGATGCGCCTCTTCCTGACCCGCTTACGATTTCGAGTAAGTTTTTTTTCGTTTTTTTTTTCTTGGGAGGGTGGGGAAAATAGTGAAAATTGATGATGATTCGCCACACCCACATACAGCCTCCCCGACATGATGCAACAAATGTCAATAGGGCCAAAATTTGTAAATAATAAAAAAATGAACAAATTTTGCAATACTTTCTGCCTTCTCATGAATGCTCGCGGGGTTTTTTGATAAGCAGACTATTAAATCTGTCTGATGTCTAATGTTTTATCAAGTTCAAAAATTCACTATTTACTTATATTTTATTATGTTGACCAAAAAGTGCATGTTTGCTTTCTCATATATATTTATTTAATGATCCGTGTTCGAGTTTGGCAGGCCTTTATTTATTAGTCAATATTTACCTTCGGCTTATTTAGGCTCCAGGATGAAGCAGTGTAAACCTTTCGTCATCGCTGGATTCCAGCTTGGGCTTATCACGCCTGAAGTGGAAGAAGTGCTGAAGGAATACGCTCAAGTTTTCGTAATCAAGGACCAGTGCGTGACTCTGGTTGATACGCTGAATACTTATGATTCTCGAACGAAAGCGGTGGCTGCTGTTCTGAAAGACATGCGGAGCCAGGATAAGTTCCTTACGCTGCGCGGGTGGCGAGACGAGGTCAGCCAGGGACTATTTTATTGTTGATGAAAAGAAATGAATTCTCTGGTGAAGTATGTCATGCTAATTGATTGATATTGCTTTTTGCAGTTTTTTGAAGTTCGGATTAATACTGGGAAACCATCAATCATGAGGATGGAAAGAGCTGCAACTTGTATATATAACTCTAATTATTGATAATCAATGTTATTAGGGCTTCCCACGGTATGTCCCATTCTGATTAGACGAATTTAATTGGCATAAAAAATTGCGGCAGTTTAAATGTCATGACCATTATTACTTTCCCTTCCCGAACGGTCGAGACGAGATGGTTCTATTCCTTGGGAAGCCCTAAATGTTGCTTGATTTAATTTTAATTAATCTCATCAATAAGAACTTAATGTATTTCCTTGAAATATAGGCATCTTCGGTATTCGCCAGTTTGGGGTGGATATAAACGGTTTTGTCAACCACCCTGAGAAAGGGCTCTGCATTTGGTTGCAGAAACGAAGTGATAATAAACAGCGATGGCCAGGGATGTGGGATAACATGGTGAGTTATATAGCAGTATAAAATACATTTGACCTTATTTTTTTTAGTCATGTGATAATTTTTTAAATCATATTTCCAGGTGAGCGGAGGACTATCCGTTGGCTTTTCTGTAAGTGAGACTGCTCAAAAAGAAGCGAATGAAGAGGCTTCTATTCCAGAGGATATGGTTAAAGATCTAGAGCTGGTGAAGACCATTTCGTAAGTTTCTTTTCCCCGTATATTAATCCAAACCGTAATCTTCAACACGTCATAACATTGTGTCTACAATTTGAAATTATAGTATTTTCTTTGAGTCGGAGCGAGGCTTATCGCCAAATACGGAATTTATCCATGATTTGGAGCTGCCTTTGAATTTCATTCCTAGAAATCAGGATGGAGAGGTTTCTGAGTTTCAACTACTCACGGCTCGAGTAAGTGATTTCTTCTTCTCTTACACGAAAAGGATGCATAATAATAAGTTTGCATTCTACTTTTGCAGGAGGCGTTGGACATGGTTCTGTCTCCTAAGTTTAAAACTACTAGCTGCCCAGTCGCTTTGGATTTCCTCATCCGCCGTGGTGTTCTAACTGATGAGATGGGTACGTCTTCTAAATAAATCAATTCATTATTAGCTAAATAATACAACAGAGTATAATAATTACAAAAATTTTGCTTCACAGAACCGGAGTTGGAGCGCGTGAAGCAATTACTCCAAATTCCTCTTTTGGATTTTTATCGCAAACTTGATGAATAAAACTGAATCATCACTAAGCTAACTTTTTATATATTTTGATAGTCACATATGTTTTAATTCATTGTGAACACGGTATTCTAATAATACCTTACATTGCGTATTTTTACAACAATTCAAAAGTTTTAAACTATTTCCAACAATCTGACAACCTTTTCCCTGTGCATTTCAATAATCAGAAATAAACCATTAAATTCATAAACCTTCTTCACATCAATATTTCTTGCTCTATTTGGGAATTTCATCTTTTATCCATGAATTCAAATATTTTGGATTTTCGTCGACAGAGGGAGGCGAAATTCGGTAGCTCTGAACTTGTGCCACTAAAAACTTGTGTGTGCATTCAGGACAAAATAAGAACATCTCAAGTTTAGACGTAGTATGTACTTATTGTTCATCGTCTCTTTCAGTTAGCGTTTTTATTACAACACAGTTAAATATTTCATGTTTCAAAGAACAATAGTATAATAATCACTAGTAATACTCAGGTTATGAACTGTACATACAAGTTTTAATTGCATAATGTTTTTCTTGATACAAAATAGAATTAACTCTATTTTTCATATGAGAAATGTATGTACGTATGTTGTGTGTGTATAAAAGGAATGTGAACAAATAATAATCTCATTACTGCCCCTATGTATGCATTCATATGTCGTTTTTATGGTCAAAAATTCATCGTTTATAATTTACTTACACCATGTGAATTGATTGTACACTTTTGTCACTATTTGTCAGTGTATAGTCACAGTTATTCATGATTCTAATGCATGCACATATGTAATATAAATATGTGTATACATCCTATTATTTGGCACTTGTAATCGCATTAAAGCTGATACGGTCATATTGTGAACTTTATAAATGCAATTATGAACCCTGAATTTGAAAGGCGATCCTTAATCATCATCATTATTATTATATTACAAAACTATGTGCACAAAGTCCTAGGATTTGGAAACCACAAAAAGTTCCACGTTGCACAATAAGATACGGTTGACTAATTTGTTTAGCAGTTTGATGCCAGAGTTCGTCTATGACCTACTTGGAGTCATAAAATACTCAGTATACTGAGATCTGCTGCCTGCACGACAAAGCTTTTGCAGAATTATTAAGTCAGTGTGTGTATGGGAGGTAGCACTCAATAGTTGCTAATGTGGTTATAACTTGGTTAAGACGTCATCCAGGTTCTTGGTTCGTTCGTGGGCATGCGAAATACGGAGTGAGATGCATGGGAGAGAAATTACCAATTAATAATTGAAGCCTGGTCTACGGTGAAGAAGAACTGTCATCATCGTCCCTACTTCCACTAACGTCACTGAGAAGATGCACCTCCGCCTTCTCATCTCCTTCTCCAGACTTGTCCTTCATACCGAAAGTCTTGGCCAGTTTTTTAGCCAGGCTATCCGAACTTGTAGCCGTGTTCCTATTCTTACTCCGTAGACGCTCATCTTCATCATCATCGTCGTCATCGTCTAGAGCTGAAATTTCAGGCTGCGAAATAGAAGTCTTGAGACCCTCGTGTTGCGCAAATGCTGCCATCCCGGGATGTGTTTCTGTGTCATCCCTTGACCCATCTTCCATGTCAGGTGAGACTGGAAACAACTCAAACTTTGGCCTTGTCGTCGTCGTCAACGGGACTGAGGTGGATAACGTGGTTGGTCTCCGACTAGGCTCCGTCATTACTCCAGGCTCAGATGCATTTCTTGTGAACAAGGGTTGCGAAATGGTTGGCGGTGGTCGATGTTCTGCTGTCGTTTTGGGGACGTCAATTGGCTTCGATGCTGGTGGAGCGTTTGACACATTTGGGCCAAATATGTCCTGAACAGTTGGTTTCTTTTCTTTCTCCCGCATTGAGATGATTGTCGTCAAATTTTCGTCCAGCTCTGGAATAACTTCTTCTGCAACGTTTCTGTTGAGCATGTTGATACTGCTGCCGGCCCAGTTGATGGGTCCTACAACGCAGAAATAAAAAAAATATAAATAAAAAAACGTACAAGGTACACAAACAAACAACAAATCGATCCGACTCGACCAAAATAAATGGCTTTCGCACTTTCCCCATTCATTTCCAATGATTCTAAAATACTGAAATGAGTATGAAAGCGATTAATTTTAGAATCCTACGAGGCGTGATACACCCGCATTTGCTTTCTTTCCTTAACTGAACAAAGGAGCACACCAGATATGAACCAGATCCTTGTGTGAGACGAGAATTCAATTTCAGTTGGCTAATCCATCCAGGTTCATCAAACCCAGTCAGCCAGTCAGTATCTGGTGGATACCATCTACAAAACACAACGCGTGGGTATGAAGCGAACAAAGAAACGAGCTTATTCAACAGACCACCAAGAAAACGAATCAAATGGCACAGCAAAGATGGAATTTGAAAGTCAAACAAATGAGAGGCTTCAAGCTTTCTCTCCTCCTTCGCCTGGCTCCAACTTTTACTCGTAGAAAGAAGAAGAAGAAGAATTGGTTGATGTGGAGGTACACGATGGATGTCCTCGCATCACAAGGACTAACGTTTTTCTTTGAATCTTCTCATATATACCTTCCTTGATCTTTGAATAAATAAATGAAAGCAGTGCTGACGACGGTCGGGGTGGATACAGAAGAAGAAAGCTGGTAGACGTTGTAAGTAAGTAAATATCCCGAGAAACCAATTAGGCCAGAAACCAATTGAATGCAATTGTACATATATTGCCACCGTACGTATGAGGAGAAGAAGGAGGCGAAAAGCAATAAACACAGCTCCATTATTATGTTGCCAGCATTTCAAATAGCAATTAGGCATTCTTATTCTCCTTCGACAAAGACGTTCCCTTTTATAAATGTGTGTTTACAATGCATGTTGTTCCTCCGCCAGACCATGGCATTTTTTTGTTGCAGTCGCCATTTTTTCGGAAAAAGTGAAGGTCACACTTTCTGACAGTAATTGACAAACAATATGTGTAATGTATTGTATTGTGGGACATTGTAGGATGCTGTTGGGTTGGATAATACAGATTTGAAGTTTTATGAATGCACGGCTCTGCGAACGTCTAGTCTGGTTGGTCAAAATACTAAGAATGCAGAGTCTTCCAAGTGTATCGAGTTGTTTTCATGTTGCACAATTTATGCTGCCAAAAATGGCAAAGTTTATTGGAAGCGACTTGCAGTTCGAGATTGAGTTGGGTTCTCAACATGGGAAAACTTGAGGGCGAAAGTAGAAACCTACGCCAATTCAGATGACCATCATATTTATTATGATATTACGTTTATATTCTCGTTTCGGGGAATCGTAAAATTTTAATTGTACAGTTTTGGCATTCATAACGCTCTGATATGATTCACTAATTGGTTTCTTCCCAAGAAACTGTTTATATAATTTCATTCTTCGTACTGAATCCTCAGTCCGGCCAAAGCCAAAATGTACCAGTGATCATTATCATCCCAAAACTTACTCAATAATTTACACAAAAAAGTCTACCCGGGTATTTGACATTTCCTTGAGAAGGAACTGACAATAAGATGCATATTCATAACTCAAGCATCCATAAATAAATCACATCCCGAATATGGATCCTAACGTATGTACACGTGTATCGAGGAATATATAATCCCCGTATCCACTCATAAACTCCTTACTGAATTGAAGGGCAGTTCCAACATTGTACAAAAATGTGTCTGGTCGTACGAAAATATTTGAGAAAACAACATAAAAGTATTAACAGTCGCCAACCGAAAACAACGTTGGACTTCATTTGTGAAGGGATAGCGAACAATTGGATTGCATATATTTTTTCCAGCCACCTCGATCTCCTCCTCACTTGTACTTGACAACCAAAAGAATGCCCAACTCCAAGCTGGGTAACTTTTACTACTGAAAATGCATATAAGCTGCACACTATTCACATTCAGCAGAGAGAGAGGTGCAGTCTGAGAGAAAGCAGCCAAGTTTCAGTAAAACTTTCTCTCCTTGTCTCATTCCTTTCTTGAGTCAACATTGTTACCAAAAACGGTGTGCATAAAGAACAAGGAGCCAAGCTCCTCGGAAAGCGGTGCATTGTTCTTCAAATGAATAGGATCCGAAGAATTATATGAGCGGAATTCCTCTTGTACATGATGGAAAAGAATTTTCAGCTGATTCAAAAGATTCAGTTTAAATATTAGAATAAAATAAATGAAATTCCTGCCTCGAAATCAATCCAGACCATGAGTTTCTCAATCATTATTGAAAGTGGGACTGCTGCACAAGGGAGCCCAGACCACGTTTACCATGATTTTTATTATTTTTCTACTTTTCTAAGTAATATTAGAGAGACCACGCTTCAAAATGAAAAATGTTCAAATGAATCCCACAAATCGGGAATTGAAATGAATCCACGATACCTCACAGTAGATTTGTCAATTTACAATTGGGTTTGTTCAGGAAGACGACGTGGTGGTGGTATTGGATGTGTGTATCGAATTCCTACTAATATTACGTCCGTATTATCATCCTGAGAGTCAAGTATTGACACAAAGAATGTACCCAAAACCCTTCATCCGTCCGTCTTACATATATATTCCACAAACCACAGGAGAAAATTAAACGCCGTGATGGGCGGAAGAGGAGGAGGAGGGAGTCGTCAATCTGTCTACTTCAATACTTCAACAACCTTTCTCCTCACTCTATCCATCGTCGTCTGCCAAAGAAATGCCTCATTTCAATCAAAGCTGTAGTTCCTCCACATTCATAAGCATTACGTTTCTTGAAGAATTTTCCACTTGCTTAATCTCAACACGAGGAGGGTTTTAAGACGAAAATTCCATGTCCATTCCATCTCAACAATAATTGCGGTGCAAAAGATCATGCTCCCCGGATTGCCCTTCTGGTGGTGAAAGTGGTGAATACGAATGCAATTTTGCAACGACATTGACACGAATCTCAGTCAGTCGTGGTGGGCATGCTTATTAATTATCCAGGTCATAATCCCGAGACACGTCAACAGGGCCCCTTATCTGTAAAGGATGGCAAGAAGGGCAAAGAGCAGTCAACCGTGAAGGCTTTCACTTGCCGATACTAAACCTAAACACACAGCTACATAACGCTTTTCATCGTATTAGAAAGAAGGCTGCAAAATGTTACTGCTCCGAGAAAGTAAGTTTGCGGCTATTTCCTGAAGAAGACAACTAATGAAATAACGTTTTTTCTCACTCTCTTTAGTATGCAGGACGGTCCGTCGGAAAAGTACGGGCTGCTTGTTGAAAACACTGACGTGTTGGGTAAATTTGATGGATAAATCGACATTGCACACTTTGCGTATGGACATTGATATAATATGGATGAGATGGAGATAATGCAGACACATGCGTTTTATACGCTTTGTGCTGCTTTATACGATAGCGATGCCTTATTGTGATTTAAATAACGATTTTAAGCGAACTTATCATGAGATAGGAAAGCCCTCCTGCACGCTGGAAATGCTAAGCAAGGCAATTTTGGGGAATGAAATCAGACGCAGTAAAACAGGGTTCACTGACTACCCACGAACGAAGCTTATTCGAGAACCTCTTGAGAAAGTTGTTGAGTGTAATCCTTTCGAGAGCAGGAGTTACCACCGCAAAGGCTGAATTAAGGCAATGGCAATAATCAAATTAAACAAGGGCCCAACATTACTGAATCGCCCAACTCTCCAAGTTCCTCTCTCTCTCTCTCGAAATCCTATATGCGTATCCATGTCCCTCGTTTTCTCTCCTCTCTGCTCCTTAGGGACACGTGGAGAAGGATTCGTCTCAAAAATTTGCAAATTGGAAGCACTCCTCCGGCAGAAGGAGAGAGAAAAGTCGACTCAACAAACTACATAAGTAAATGGTGAAGAAGGATTTATAAACTTTGACCGTATTTGTCCTTGTCGTCTCACCAGACAGAAAATCAACCCGTAAGACACAAGTGGAATTGGGAAAAATTTCAGGTAATTATTTGGGGATCAACTGGTCCAAAAAATAAATCATGCTATACAGGGTATTATTTTTTTAGAAAGAAATATGTACATATGCCTGTTGTATAATGCTAATTAAGGTAGAACTAACTTTTACAATATGTGTACGCGAGGCAACATTTATGACTTCCAATTGCCTCTCAACCTCATCAAACAAATGTCTGTGGGAAATCCTTTGGAGAGTTTTCCAAAAAGCGGAGATAATCCTTTGATGATGATTATTATGCTATTAGATACAATTGAGATTTAATTATACAAGTTCACTGCGGCTTATATTAGTTGCCAACAAGTTCAAAAATAAGTTGTTCACGGCCGACTCTGACGACTTATTTGGAAAATCCCACACATTTTATGGCTGTCATGTAATCACGTCTGCACTTTCGAAAACTTGGTGGCTGTATAATAACTTAAAATGTAAAAAAAACTTCCCAGACTTTGCACAGCAAGTATTTGCAGAATTTTAATTTGATCCGGAATTAGACATTTAGTCGCATATGTAAATTTGAAGAGGATGCCAAAGTAGTCAAAGTACTCACCACCAATCGGACCATCTTGCACACTTGGCGACTGGGGGTCAACCCTGTCCCCACGGTCTCTGGAGAAAATTCGTCGAAATACGGACGTGATGGAGCCCGCCCGACTCATATTTCCAGTCACGCTCTCTCCTCCTAAAGTGCTCTGGCTCGCGTTGGACTTCATACTTGGGGTCCGACCCCGGCGAAGGAAGCTCCCCCCGAACTTGGAGGAAGGCGTCATAGAGATACGTCTTCCGGGTTCCTGCTCAAATATAAATTTGACATGCTTCATACCGAGTTTGAACTAGAAGTTGCATCGTATTTAAAGAAAGTAAGCAGTATTGACGAGTAAATGTTTAAATGACAATGAGAAAAAAAACAGACGAAAGACGTGAAGGTCAATAACAGCAAACAAAAAAAGTGCAGGATTGAGTGGGGGTTGGGTTACTTGTTGGAATACGCGTAAAGCATGAAAATCACTTTAAAAGTTGTTGTCAGGGCCAGCCTCGTGCTTGACTTTTTAACTGTAAATAAGAAATTAATAACGCTACAGCTCCCACACAAAGTTCTGTTCGTGGTTGGAAAGTTGCATTCGTCGGGTTTTTTTTCCCAGGCCTGACAAGAAGAGGCCAACGCGATTGAGTGAACCTACATAAAATGGAATGAAACAACTTTCACCGACACACATTTTCCCGTCAGTTGAACATCCTACACCCAAGGGCTCAAGGGACACAAAACTCCGAGCTGCCAGTGCACTTTTTCATGCTACACTACATAAATAAATATGAAATCTATTGAACCATGGATAAATAAAATGATTTTTTTGGAAAATATGTGAATTTTAGGTACATTCCAATTACATTCAGATTATGAAATCCAAATTGTAATCATTATTATCCAGTCGCATATTATAAATTTAAGCCTTTCCCAGGGTGTGATTTGTTGAATTTTTTTTACAAAAAAAGTAAAATCATGCGTGTGCGAACTTTCTTGTCCCATGACATTTGCGTCTTTACTTTTGTCAACAAATGAAAAAGATTTAGTGCTGTGTCTCCTTCCGTGTGTGGACAGAAGAGCCAAGGGTAGCAATATCAGTGGAAGGATGACAACCTTATTCCAAGTCAACAAGTTTGTTTACTTGTCCATCGTGGATAGTCGACGACAATAAAATGGATTTTTTTGTTGACCCTTCAAATTTTATTCCTACTTTTACAATCCTACCAACGGCTTTGTTTGCGGAAAGGCTGATTCGAATGGCTGCTTCATGATCTCTCTGACAGGAAAATGTACTTTTCACGAATACGTACAACATAGTAACAGGACAATTTGGAACGCAGATAAAATTATACACGACACGACTCGATTATTGCGTTGGAAAAATGATACAAATAACTTTTGCATATAGCACAACAAATCTACAGCACAAACAACAATCGTAATAAATAATAACAATTTGTATCATCTCGTGAATCAAATCGGAACGGCATTCCAGGTGCAGAAAAAATATGCAGTGTGATCTCAATGTTGAAAATTTATACTCACAGTTTTTCTCTTTCTTCACTACTTGACTTCTGCTTAGAAGATGATTTGAAGGGATTCATGTTTACGAAAATCTGGGAAAAGTCAAGGACAAAATTTCTATTATGCGATTGAAATAGGATTCATGGAACTAAATGGCACTCAAACTTTCTCTCACTGCACACAATAGTCCCCTCTTTACGAAAAAAGTTACAGCAAAGTTTAGAAACTGGTTACACAACATTGATTAAATAAAGAATCGTCATCATCCTCGCGAAGCCGGCGCTGCTGCTGCTCCCATCAAAAAATGGGCTTGGCATACGTATTTAGTTTAGTTAAACGATGGCTGGCATATAGGAGAAAGTTAGGAGAAAGTCACCAAGGGTAAAAACGCGACAGATGACTTACGCCAGATTCTGACATTTGATGAATGGACTTGACTGATGGAGGTGAGACAATTTCCCCATCTTGATAAGACACGATAAGGTTGGCAGTAGAATGAGACGGAGGCTCCTCTTTATACTGCTCGGAGGCTACCGTGTGGGGCAATTCGGATGGAAGGACGGTGTCCCAGTATTGATCCTTCAATAGCTCTGGATGCTCGTGATGCATCTCGTCCACAATTAAGTACGACACCTGCTCAAGAAGGGTATCATCAAAGAAGCGTTTTTACTATTTACTAATTTACACACTGTCGCGACATGTAAACATAGTTTTATGTATCTAATCTACTACAGCTTCTATGTGAAAATGTAGATTTTGTTACTGTGTATCTAAAAATTGTCCTACATACATTTCTCGCCTGTGGCAACTTTGACACACATCCAGTGTGCGAAAAGAGATTAAAAACAAACGGATAATACCACTGTTTCACACTCAGCTAGTACTTTTACGCTATTTACGTTCAGGAAGCTAGTGAATAAATTATTATGTTTAGCTCGCAATCTAATGCAGTGGAGGTGGTAAGGGAGGTAGTAAATCGCAAATCTCCATAGATTTGCCACCACCACCACCGTCGCCAAGTTTTATGCAGTGTTGTAATCAAAGAATATTGTCAATTAAAGATACGGCCAACTAGAGAATTGTGAGGATGAGCAACCGACTTAAGGAGTACACAGAAAGGAAGAAGAAAAGGGTTTATTTTGACTCTTCCTCTTCTTGCACACGGCTGGCTGGATTAATCAGGGCAAAACTTTCATTTCGTATTTTCCTCCTACCAAATCTTGAGTGGAGTTGTAATTCCCGAAAAAATTAATAAAGAGAGCAGAATAAAATAAAATCTACTTTTATACGCCAATTTAGCTACACCTTTCTGCTCTTTATCCTTTTTTCATGTGGGCTGAAATAACTTTAACTGATTTAATTTCAATTCTTGATTTGTCCCAATTACAAAGTTGCTGCGGGAGAAACTTTCCTCTCACAAATTAGAATGGATGTTTGCTTTTATTATTTTGAATTGATTTTAGTGGGAAAGAAATTCAATTCTTCGTTTAATCAAGAAATCTATGGGGGAAAGTTTTGAAAAGTAAGGCAAGTTAGCAGCATCATTTTGGGCTTCGTTCCATTCCCCGATAATTTTCTGACTGACTGGCTAAAAGCTTTCTATTGTAGTTTCAGCGCATTAAAATATTGACAAATATACATATTTTACTATACGGTGTGTTTGTGCATGTTGTAAAATCTCACTATTTCCATCCTCGGTAAAATCATGGATAACATAAAAATGTACAATGGGAATTTTACCTGCAAGTTTCGGTCGATCATCCAACTGAAAAAATAGAAAAAAAATCGCTAGAAAAATGAGACAAAATTCTCAATTTATTTATGAGCATACACACTTTAGTTCAAAATCATCATCATCATTTCCAAATGGGTTGACTAAAGACTCGGCAACCTTGAGCCATCCCATGTAGAAGAAAAACTGCAATTTAAAGAAAAACATTTTATTTACAAACTCTAAATACATATTGTTGTAGACGTTATGTAACGGCATTAGTTTAAACGAGATACAAGACTTGGTTAAGTTCAATTTGAAGTTACATAACAGTTAAATTGGAACCACGTCTAAACAAGAATTCACCATGGCGACCTGACCTTTGACATTTGATGCAAATGTTCAAGTCTAAATCTGCCCAGGTTTTGAGTAGGTTTTACTTAATAATCTACGTATTGATCAAAAATTTATATAAAAATAAGCCTCCGCATTAGAAATACATGCGAGATAAAGTCATCCAACTGTAAGAGAAAGTGAAACCGGCGACTAAAAATTAGCCGGAAGAAAGGACTGATTTCTTAAAAAACAGTAAGTAAGCATAAGTCTCTCGAAAGAGCTTAGCGTTTACTTTTCCATGTCCTACGTACGTACAGACGTAGATACGTATGTCGTACATGGGCATGTCCTACGACGACAACAATGAGAAACGGACTCGATTCATAGATGGAAATAGACTTCAACCCACTCACTCACTTGTAAAGTAGTAAAAATTGGGAAGACTAAATCAATCTCGCCAGTACAATTTTTGGGATCGGCACACGTCTCGAGATCCGGTTTGATCCATTGGCGTCCCATGACGCACGAGAGGAAGAAAGAATACACGGCCAGCGTAACAACCTGAAACCAAATCATATAGATCAGCTCGAGCTTAGCAAAACAAACAAGCAAATAATCCCGCATTCTCCTCGTAAAGAGTCAACTCGTAAATCATCAATAAAAGTTCTCCCACCACTTGGGCAATTTTTTTCTCGAGCCACAAATCCCGGGATGCTTTGTGGCTTAACATATTTTACGCAAGGATACGCTCACACGAGAGAAATTATATAATTATATCGTTCAACTGTAAATATTTAACTCGATTTAAGCACAAATTAAGATTGTGCACAAACAGCTCACACCGCTAAATTATTATTTTTAGGAAGCAGGAGAGAAAAAAAATGTGCTTTCTCCAAACCACTGCCATTAGAATTACGACTCTCTAATTGACTACTTGTAAGCTCAGATTATAAATGAAAAACCAATAAAAGCCTCAACTCAGGTATGCATAATTGCATCATGACTAGCGAAATTATTCCGCCTGAACGCTGAATAAAAGGCCAAACTACACTTTAATGTTTTATAAGCATTCCTTCCTAGATTGATCGCAAACAACTGCTCGGCTGAAAATATCGAACAGAAAACAAGACAAAATGAACTTGAAATGTCGGGCAAAAGGCAACAACTCACGTCACTGTCAATTTTGACACAAATGATTCATCTCCTTCACCCAGTCTTTCGCATCTGCAGGGAAATAAATTAGCTGCCGTTTTGCTTCAAGTAAAAATCCCTTGGTTTTCACAAGCATGATGCTAATTCAAAGTAAAAGTCTCGGGTTTGTTGGTGGGTTGGTTGCAAGAACACCTTGCTTTGCACTTAAGGAACCGCACGTCCCAGGCGGACGCTAAGCATATCAACAGGGAGGATTTATGGCTCAGAAACCAAGTGGAATAAGCGATTTGTGCCAGAGCTGCTGTGATTCTTGGTGACTCAATCGTGTAGTCTGCTGCGTGAGAGGAGGAAATCAATTACGAGTGACAGCAGAGCAACACACTCCTTCAATGACTTTATTCAATTTAAATATCATCTCTCTATTACTCTCCGCCCTGTTGTGGGGAAAATTCGAAGAAAGGTGAAGGTAAAGATACCAGCCAACAACGTGTGCAAAAGATGGACGACATTCTCACGCTCATTCTTCGACAGAATTTTTTTCGCTTGCAGAGTCAACACAACAACACATTCCTCGTGCACTGCATGAATTCCCATGTTAATGCTGTGTAAGTAAGTAGGTTGGGTGCTCATGAGACTCGGGCATAATATTTCTGCTTAACTATTATTCAGCATGGGCAGGCATTTACCAAAACCAGAAATTCCAATAGTCGAGACACGTGCACAACTTCATTACGTATATTTTGGAAATTATCGAAAAAATCATATCGTTAGAATTAATGCATTCTGTATTCACAATTGCGTTACAATTAAATTGATTTGTGGAGGAATATTTGATTAAAAAACTGACAGCTAAAACCCCACGAACTATAAGTCTGCCTCAAGCTCGCGCAAATCCAATATCCTTTACCGTTTTGCTAGGAAGAATTTTAAGTGGAAATCTAAATTCCAAATATCTCAAGTAATCGAGGAAAAGGAGGAGATTGAACAAGCAAATGAGATAAATATAATCTGATTTTTAATGATTAAGGATTTCGTGCCTGACTCCAGTGGGACGTCACACTTGTCGAAGGAGAGAAAGTTGAAAGGTTTACCCGTCGCTTTAATACTTTCACCCACCACACGTACACCCATCTCGTCCTCCTTCTCCTTCTCAAACTCACTGGGAAAATCCTTCGCTTTTCGTTAAAACAGGCAACACCCGGCAAGACGAGCGTTGGGGATATTGTTACTGTCAGAGGCGTTGGAATATTCCTTTTTTCCAACACATTTTTTTCTCCAAATCGGGAAAATAAGGGCATTTGAGTCGCATATTTTTTTCATATGTGCCAATGTTATCGAATAAAAATAAAGATTTGCAAGGCAGGCATAGTGCCGTGAACTAAAATAAAGTCACACCACAAGCTGCTGGCTGGTGGCTTATCGTCATGCTATTCAGGAGGGGAGCTTGCGAGGTTGATAATAACAGATCTTGATGCCCTTTGGATATGTGGTAGGGACCCATGAGTGTACTAAAACCCTGAAGTGGTTTGACTCCATGGCCACATTTACGCCCGGCACACCCACTCAAAAATGCCCAAAAAACGCTTTCACTCCAGTTTTCACTCACTCAAATCCACGCCAAAAATCCAATTTTACTCGGATTTTGAAATTTCTTTCACCAATATACTCCCCGATAGTTGCTTTCTTCAATCCAATATCAAACTCAATTTTGCTGATTATTATTTCGCAGGCATAATTTGCCTTGTTGATTGCTACAACAATGCTCATTCAGAAATTTAAATTTTAAAAATACTAAAAATTTCGAAAAAATTGAGTTTGATATTGGATTGAAGAAAGAAACTATCTGGGAGTATATTGGTGAAAGAAATTTCAAAATCCGAGTAAAATTGGATTTTTGGCGTGGATTTGAGTGAGTGAAAACTGGAGTGAAAGCGTTTTTTGGGCATTTTTGAGTGGGTGTGCCGGGCGTAAATGTGGCCATGGAGTCAAACCAATTCAGGGTTTTAGTACACTCATGGGTCCCTACCACATATCCAAAGGGCATCAAGATCTGTTATTATCAACCTCGCAAGCTCCCCTCCTCAGTTTAGTTTGCCGTAGCAGACACTGATTCAAGGTAAGTGTTTCCCCATCCAAAATGTCTGACTGGTCTGTCACAGGAACTTGCTTTTCCTTTCAATCTCATTGCATAAAATGCATCACAACGATCCGGCTGCAAGTCCATTGCGCTGCAATTACTCGTTTGTGGGCTGCTGCTGAGGTGAGATAAATTTTGAAGTGAAATCCACCGAGACTTGAGCCCAGCATAGAGTGCTTGTTTAATGAAAGTTTTAGTACGCTATACAATTTCCATTTAAATAATCCTTGGCTGGTCGAGTTAATTTAATTTATTACCTACTTCCCCATACTGTCAAAAGCAGGGGAAATGGATGGCACGTACGTATTTATAGGCGTACGTACGTAGTACCACATATGTATCAACTCCCTTACTTACCTGCGTGTAGACGAGAGGTACACTGATCCAGTCGTATTGAGTGAGACTGCCCATATTCCCACGAAACTTGTTCAATTCGTCCAAAATAGTCTTGACTGCGAAGTCGTCGCGAATTTTTCCTTCCTTCCTGGCCCTCGTGACGATGCTGCAAGCCCAGACAATAGGCAACCAGTGTTTTGGATGGCTGTGCTTCTGATTCAAAGCGTCTATTTATGGACCAGATTGGAAACTTGTGTCAACATTTCGTGAATGGAGAAAGACACAGGAAGAGAAAATTCTATTTAAAAGTATAGCACGGTGAATGACGACTTTTACCTATTATCGACTTCTCGTTCTCCATGAGTAGACCTGAAAAAAATACAAAACAACCCACGCCTTACTTTATCTTCCAAAAACACTGTGAGAGTTAACTAGTGAGCGAATAGCCGTCTTGGTTTCCAAGATGCAATTAATCAAATAAGAAAAGATTGTCGATAATGTTTACCTGATTCCACGAAATGATCAAGCGTCGGAAATCTTCTCTTGACTCGGGGACTGATAAGCGTAAAGCACATTGTAGAAGCGAGGCAGCAGTATCGCATAATCGTGCGTCTCATGATCCTCGCCTTCTCGTCCTACATTATTTAGAGGTGTTTACCGTAAAAATTCTTGATTTTTTTAACATCACACACAAAAAACAAATGATATCTGACACATAAGATCTTCTTCTGAGATTCGAGGTAAAAGCTAGCAATAAGCGGATGAAGTATGCCACCACGACACGACTCCTGGTAAAAAAAGCTTTCAAAGAGGATTCTACATGCATACTTTGTGCTCCGTGTCTAATCCCTTTGACTCCGAATTGTTACCCAAATTGGGAGTCAGAGTAGACCGGACTTTGATTTTACGATACCTTGACAGGACTTAAAAGTCTAGAGTTACATCATCCATCCCTTCTTTCTCCGGTATTGACGTAACAGTGAAAGATTATTTTTAATGATCATATTGGTCGTGTGAAGGAATTTTGTGGAAAATAAAAAAGAACCAGAGACGTATGCAAATTCTATTCCAGTTGGTCGTCTACATTTTGCTAGCATATGAAAATTCCGACTTCTACGAGTCACCAATTGGGAGAAAATCATGGCATTTTTATGATGAAACGAAGCAATCAAGCAATCACGACACGTAGTATAAATCGCATATCTTTCCCCATTTCGGGTGAATTTATGCCCACAAATATCTTTTTGTCGGGAAGAATAAAAATCAACGTTTGAACTCGACATAAAAAGTGTCACATAAAAAACTTGGGGTTTCTACGGCCCAATAAGTACCTAACCAGGGTGGATGCGCAAACATGTAGGTATACATATTTAGTCATCATATATCGCCATAAATAGAGATATGAGTTTCAGACACGATATGATATCGAATGAGTAAAAGTTTTAACCACGGTCTAATTTTATTCCAAGTTTTAGAGTGTAAAGAGAACGAGTTTTACATTGAAATTGTTAAAAATACGACAATTTAATTTGCAAGCGGTTAGTAATCTTCCTTATTTACATACATACGCCTCCCCCCAAACTTACTTTGGCCTGTGCACAAGTTTTATTATTACTCTTCATGAGAACCACGAGACAAGAAACAGTATTTCTTACATCACTTTGCTCCTAAACTGAGGTAAATAAAAGTACTTTCACTATCCGAGTTGCTGCTTTCATACCGGAGTGTCGGTGCATTAAACTTTCACCATTCTCGTTTCCCTCTGCATGTTTTATGTATGGGAATGACAGTGAACTTAGGAAGGCACCTACCTGGCCATGAATATTGGCAGAAACATAGACAGCCGTGGAGTCTGGCCATGGAATCGCTTGATACTGACTCCACCATCGCCCAACCACGATCGACACGTAAAACCCCAGTACAAAAGACACTGGAATTAAGTTTCCGTATTTTTCGCAGTAGCGCGTTATCTTCTCAAACACTCTGCATTAAATAAAAAGGTAAGCAAATTCAGTTCACGACTCGCTCAAGATAACAACCTCAGAGAGAGAATGTTACATAAGTATACGTACAAAACATGCAACTAAACGTTGCCGTTGAAGTGCTGAGGAATGAAAATTTAGGAAATGAAATTGGGCTGTAAAACCTCAGCTATTATTTCACTCGGAACACATTACGGATTTTGGTAGTAGAGAAAGAATAAGAATTTCAAAATGAAGACGGAAAAAAAACTTTCACTTACATTTGTTGATCATGCGAGAGGAAAAATCTGTACAGAACACTCAGGGAGAAATACGTTCCCAGGAAGAGGAACAGATCTGGCCACACGAGTTTGTAAATACTTCCGCGCCACCTGAATAAAAAACAAGACTCGAAATAGTATGAAATTTCATATTCTAAAAATATAATCCCACTTTGACTTATTTTCGATACCCCACGTAACATTATCCGCATTGCATAATAGCAAAAAAACACAATGTACGTCCAGCAACTAATCTCACAAAAGTTCAGAGTTCTTTTTTAGCCCAGGAAGTTTTTTTATATAAAAACAAATCTACTTATCTCGCTTTAAAAATTCTTGTCGAAAATATAATACCTTATTCTTGAACGCTATTATCCTGAAAGTGCTCTGGACCGAAGCTAAGCCATTCCTTTCACTCTCCAATGTAATCCTAAGAGACTCATTTACTTTACCATTTATCATTTAAACATGGGTAAAGGGGACAAGCAAAATCCTCTCCTCCTCCCAAAGCAAAGTATGCGTATATAAACGGGGAGATTTATAATATGAATAGTGAACGAGCATGAATGAAAAATAAAATGGGTATGAAAAATTCTCGATGAAAGGAGAGAGGGGCTGGTGGGAAATCCACAAAATATGTGTTGACAGCGGTAACTTTCTCCTCGTAGGGTGCTCCTATCGGGGCAAACATGTTACATCAACCTCAATCATAAATATCCATGATGTGCTTAAATACACCTAAATCATTCATTTTTGCTTAGATTACATGCACTTATTGCTATACGGGCCTCGAGGAAAGGGTCGTTTTATGAGTGTGCTACTTTCACCAGGAACAATATTGCTAATGCAAAGTAGGCACAGGCATGTTGTTGCATGTCCAGCAACATTTAAAATATATGGATATATACTTTCCCATAAAGAAGTCAGGAGTGAAACACAATTAACCGAAGGGCACAATCTGCTTAGAATTTAGTGTGGTTTTTATACTACATTTACTACGTTTTATTTTATAGTTTTGACTTTCTCCTTGATGAAGCAATGTACATATGTATTCGGACGAGTAATGTAATTCTTAAAATTGCTGAAACTGTTCTTTTGCTGGATGACTGAATGCTTGATTCCATTAGGAATTGCAAATTGTGGGAATAGTCAACAACTCACCGAAATAGAAGCTTTAGAAAACATCCAAATCCTTTACACGTGGCTACTTCCGCGGTGTATGAGACAGTCATTGCTGCAGTTTATTTACCTAAAAAGCGTAATTAGGGTGAGATGAAGTCACTGTCTTCTTCTGTTTGAAGACAAATAAGAGTTGCTGAGATTCTTGATCTGAAAGTGAACAAAACAAGACATGTTTATCACACGATGCTATTTATATCATGTGATTAATATCGTGTTTCGTATGTAGAAGAAAGTTAGGCAGACGATACATTAAGCATTAATGTGATAAGGAATTGCATTTATGTCTAAACTTTTCTCATGCATTTCGTAAGGAATACAATTATTTACAGCTATTTGAACAATGTACCAATAAGAACATGGAAATGTGTACTTGTGTATTTCAGCAGAGAAAGTATCATTCATTTGAAAATTGCTTCCTTATTTAATAAATGCGTTATGAGTAGAAACAAGACATGATAAAATGTGCACAAATCTGTGAAATGTGGATATAAATATGCACGTATTTAGTTATGAATGAGTGTGCATGAATGGTGTATGCACATCATTCAAGAAGAACAAGGTTCTAATGACGAGCAATTAAGAAGAGATTGATGATAATACTACTTACAACTGGTAAAAAACTGGCTACATACATGTTGCATAATGAAGATATAGCTTCAAAATGAGCTGAGATGTAGTGAATGGATGTAAGCAAATAACTTATTTAGCTGTCTGGTTCAACTCAGCCATGTTTACGGCTTATTTAAAATAAGCCGTAAACACTGCCGAGTTGTTGAGCCGGTCCGGACAAGTTGTTAATGCATGTATGCATCATAATCATAATAATAATGCGGAAGTCGATGCAGATGACTACTCCTGGCTGGAGGATGCTGTTTGGTAAACTCTGGAGGGGTTGCTGCCTTCAGAGACGACGTATAATGAGAACTCTAGAGGATGATAATTGCCCGAATTTAGGTTTGACAACAAGAAAGGCAATCAGCATACCAATTACGCCATCAAGACGGCATTATACATGTATAATGTGCTTTCTTAATGCTGCGAGTACTCCAAAAAACTCAAACAAATCTGGAATATGGACATGATGCGTACTTTTTCGTAACCTGAATGATATAATGCCGGCTAGATTTTTTTGGTTGGAGTGAAGATTCGAAGGACTTTCACCCGGCTGAATATGCCAAAAATAACTAATAAATTATGTACTTACGACTTTACAAGGTTTCCAAAAATACGTGATTTTGCACCCGTCTAAACAGGCACCACTGTCGCACTTCCAATTAATTACCAATTAACACTTATCCCAAATAAAAACAAAATGGTTGAAATCCATCTGAACCGGATGGACGGGTGAGCAGTAAGTCATGATAAAACCCCACAAAAATAGCGCCATTAAGCTAAACTTGTTTCAATGCCTTTCCCACTTTCACTTCCAACTTTCTATTTCTCTTTCCCCAATTTGAGCACGTAAATACATCCAACGCCAACAAAGTTTGCATTGGTTTGATGCATAAGCGGAAAACTTTGTATGAAAACACGGCAGGTTATAATTGAATTTGCTCCTTGTTGCCATTTACATGCAGATTTCATTGCGTCAACGTCACAGGACTGCGTTCACCTGTGGGAAGAAGAAAAGACGGAATTTCCTAGTAAAACGGAAACCATTGTGTTTCGATATTGCATCAATTACGACCATTCCTTATTAAAATACAAGTTTAAAAGCCCCCGTTTACGAAGCCGTACATCTCGTTCAAAGTTCTGCTGCTGCTTTCATCCGGTGACATTGAAACGTGCCTCTGCTTAACAAACAACTTCAACAATGTGCTTTTAGATCAAGTTGAGCAATAAATATTAAAAGTTCACGCCAAGCAGGAGGTGGTTACGATGGAGGCCTTGGCGTCTGCAGGCTTGTCAGTTTCCCTGCACGTGGCGTGGTAAACCAATTGACAACAAATATTCGTCTTCCTTCCCATTAGTTCAAAGTACTTGAGTCCTCCTGGAAGTGGGGCATTACATGTATGACCATAATCGTATATTTAATACCCTATAGACACACATAACTTTGAAAGTATGCACATATGTAGTTGGACATTAGAAGGTTGCGATAGTTGACGACGATGGTTTTAGTTGGCGAGTTTTTATCTGGAAAATTGCAATGAAATCATTCGTATTCCGATGACAAAGCAAAGTACCATATTTCCTCTTTTGTCAAGTGCACGTTCTGCATATTCCATTTTAATAAAACTGGTCGATGTACCAGACAGGGTGGTGGGTGGGTGGGTGCCACGCTGGAGGAACATTTCCATTATGATTAGAGAGAACATCAGCACTAGTATGGGCACACACCGACAGAATGCTTGATGATCACACACCCGAACCAGCCAGCCAACCAACCAGGCCTACCTACACCTTCACTGATCAATTCCTTTCACAGGGTTTTAACACACATTCACACTGGCACACATTCCAAAAATAGTCTACTTTCCTTTTCTATCACCTCCCGTCGTCCACGGGAAGAAATGCAACTTAAATGAAATGTATGCAAAGTTACTACAAAAATGAAATCTATTCAGACTGAAAATTCAATAGGAATCTCACTCTCTCCACATTCCATTTGTTTGTAGCGAGTGTCGTGTCGTGCGCAGTTTGTATAAGCTCCTTCACCCCATTAAGTTTTAATATTTTGGTTCCCTTCATATCCGTTTCATCTAAATTGAGACACAAATTATTAAATATTGAATCTGCTTTTTTCACTCAAAATCTATACACAAACTTTCCCCCACTGCAGACGTTATTAGCTCGAATCTTACATGCTGATCTTATGTACGATTTGCAAAGTTATGCTGATAATCAGGTGAAAAAACAACGCTTCAAATTGCACCAAACCATTTTCATTACGTTAACTCGAGCACTGTTTCTCCTTTGCTGCACACACAATGCATCTGAAGCCAAACTTAATTATTCCCTCTTGCAAGAAAAGAAGAAAGGCATGAACTCGAGTTCTTTTTTTGGGTCATGGCGAATTAAGGAATAAAGTGAAAGCAAGGGGGAAGGTTTGTGTGTGTGTGGTGTGTGTCTGGCTGGCTGGTAGAGTTTTGGAGAAAATTCTCTAACGAGTTTAGTTCCTCCAGCAGAGACGTATGCGTACAAGTCAACCACCCAGTCAGAGACAAAGAGAGGTGAATACATTTCAAATGTAAATTCCAAATTAACGGAACCAACCTAGTTACAGAAAACATTCCCAATTCCGAAACCACCTCGTTCACTGTGGTTCCAAAAAAATTTGGAACTGAAACCAAATCAATTTGAATCCAAGAAAAAACCGAGTAACAGCAACCAACAGCAGTGGATTCTTCTTACAATAACTAAAAAATAAAGAAAAGACTAAGATCCCACGTGGTGGGTAATTTAGGGCAAAATTCTCTCCTCTCCTCTCCTCAAGGAGGAGGAGGAATAATGAGTGAAAGAATATAAGTGCATACACTTCAAAATTTTACGACTCATGAAAGATTCACTGAGAAGTAGAATATGGAAACAATTCCTAATTTATTGTGTTTCCTTTCCATACCAACATTAGGGTAAATTGGTATTTTGATACTTTCAACCGGGGGAGAAGACCGTAGACCCAACAAGTCTGTGAGGAATATATGTACAAGCACAGTACTAATTTTAGGGCGCATTCAATCTTGCTAATTGGCCACTACTATTCGTATGAAACCACGTTGCAGAAAGAGAGAGAGACAATCAACCAACCACGCCGAGTACGAAATAACTTTGTTGCTTGCTGTTAAAAGTTAAAGGTGCAAATGCATAAATGTGTATGAGCATATTCGTGCTTAGAAAATGGTCTGACTCGCTATACTCGCCGCACCATGAATGTCCTTGAAACCGTGAAATTGCCGGTTGGAGGAGGAGATGATGTTAAACTTCTTAGAGCTGGGTGTTTTTTACACTAACAAAAAATGGGCATGATGTGCATACAGTTTCTTACGTTTTATAACTTACGTATAACTCTTCTTCTACCTTATAAGTTATAATGGGACCATGTGAGCGGTGGGAATGTGGTCGGCTCATAAATCAGCAGATTGGAATGGAAAATGGCATCTGTTTCATGATAACCGGATTACATATTGAACTATTATAAATTTCCATGAACGTTGTGGTAACAATTGTCTTGCAAAATCTTCAACTATGACCCCCGAATCACGACGATCAGCTAAAATCACTGATTACAAAGAAACAATGATGACTTTTGTAAGTGACAACTCACCCGAATGAAACCGACCGTTTGGATTTGCGACACGGTTCTTGTTACTCAAGCACTTAAGTAAGTGTCCACTTCACTTAAGTTGTTTGTGGGGTGGGTGGCACTTGATCTCCTCTAAGAATGTATTGAACAGATCAATGGCGGTGTTTTCTCCCACTCACTCAACACTTCCAGTTATGGGGACAACATTTCTAGGAAACCGGTGACACTTCTCGACCAAACAACGCGAAAAATCTGACTGCTTCATCAGACGCCAATTTAGACGAAATTTTGAAAGCTATCAATAGCTACTTGATTAACTTGTCGCGGTTTCAAAGGAAATACTGCTTACTCGCGTACTTCCGAGCGGGGAAGGTTTGCCGGATGTTCGAAAATTTCTGGACTTTATCCAAGTAAAGACGTGTATAGATGTGAGTATTATGGAACCAGTCTCACACTACAAGCACAATACATGAGCTCTAATGCCAACTTTTTCACAATTTCCTTAGCACCCAATCACTCCACATGACTTTGTGGTTATTCTTGTTTCTTGTTGTGGTGGTGAATTCTTTTATCCTTGACTTTAACTCCTTTCCTTCGGCGACAAGCAACAAGGTCACTAAGTACATAATCATTTAGGAACAAAGTCAAAAGTTTCAGGACAAAAAAAAATTCAGGAAATTATCACTGTTGACGTACAACTACAAGTACAGTACGCACCCCCAGAGTTATTTTACTATTGTGTAGTAATGACTGTCTGTGAAGTCAGTCTGAATGAGAACTGGAGAATAATGATAGAAATTTGTACCACGGAGAGCAAACAGAATCGTCTGTCTCACAATTATGCTGATTGTAATGCTGTATATCCCAACTGACAGGCCATACAACGCGTTAAGAATAGCATAAAAGTTATAATGGTCTCTCGTCCAAAAGCCACAAAGGAAACTGAGGTAAGAATAAGCTTCAGCAAGTCTGGCTGAGTTTTGTTAAACGTAACAACGACGACGGCTAAATAAAGTATTTTAGAGTAACGAACACTGCAATCTTACGACTATTTAGTACAAACCCAAACCAAAACTAACCATAACCTGGGTTGTTTGTTGCTATTAAGTGATTGTAAAGTTGGTGTCGGGATGATGGCTGGATGATGCAGATTTAATGATTCACTTCAATTTGTTGTGGGGTCAACGTTCTTCAACATTGGTTACACACAGATACTCACTGATAATAATTCTCTGATATCGGACATTTGTTCTATCCGCCCACCCCCAAACAAATTGGGACAAATATTGAGTGATAGGATGGTCTCCAAGTGTAAAAGCACGTGGGGCTAAAATTTGTAGAAATCTGATGGCACTAGAAATTCAGATGTTTATTGGCCGTTGTTGTACAATGTACTCGTCCTCTAACAGCGAAAACCTCGATAAATGAGTAATGATGCTGCTGCTGGTGATGATGATGATAATAATATTTTACACAATGCACAGCCACTAAAACGATCCGTGTAGTGAGTTGATTTAAAGGATGTGCACATGCATATGCGGGTGAAGAGGATTCATTTTGTACTCCTGTTTGTAATAGTATGCGAATTGTATGTAATAGTAATGCCGCATGAAGGAGTGCAGCTACTTCGCAAAGAAAAAATCATAGAGAAATACAATACATCATATATGCTACTGGAGTCATTCCGGAGTCATGCAGTACTTGGTACAAGACGTGTTTAACACTTTGTGTTCAGAAATATGACTCAATTTTTAACATGAAATATATAGCTTTTGGATTGAATTGCATTCGAGTGGAGGCATTATTTTTGCTACTGGAAGTGTTTTGACCAAGAGAATTGGAATTGGACACATAGTAAAAAATAGTGACACATAATTACCATGATTTATTAAACAACAGCACTTAATCTTAAGAAAGCAATAAAATAATTGTCACATGCGTGCATTTTCAAGTAATGATGTTATGAAGTCTGCTTGGCAAACTTTACGTGATGGATGAATTATGAGTCTCGCGTGAAATTTAATCGTCAGTTTACGACGAGTTCACAACACTAGTTTAAAGAATTTATAGGATTAAATAACCATGTGCTCTTGGTTTAAAGACGATGCGTTGTACGCCACACAACTTATTATGCAAAATAGCTATTAACGTGCCGATTGAAAATTGTTGAAATTTTTTCAACCATTTTTTACCATGTAATTTTTAGAGTGCACGTATGTAGTTTACTCGTGTTTGGATTAAATTTTCACTACAACGGTGGTTCAATGGTGAATTTGATTATTCGGGTTCAGCTCGGGTTCAGTTCCTGTCAATACATTTCTGACAGGACATAATCAGACTCACAACAGTCCGCACAACATAACGGAATCGTCACGCACGTTCTACTTCATTTTATATTGTGTCAGGAAGCAAGCCATATCGCACAAACTGCGAGTTCTCAACTCAAAACGTGAGACAATGAACATTCGCCCATTTTGTTTGACATAATTATATATCAAATTGCCGGTTTCTCTCAGTTTGCATTCTAACAAGGGAACCTTAAGTACTGTCACCTCTCGATTTCCTTCCAAATAGCCTTAATCGACAGATAATTTAGTGAAACTTAAACTTTGTCATAGAACATGCGGTGCAAAATCGCGTTTTCGCGAAATATTTGGCGAGAGCTGCACCAAAACCTGCCATTTGCCCAATGCTTTTAACATAGCCACCAGCCTTTCGAATGATGAAATGAACTTCATATAATCTTATTAAATTATATTTGTACCTGTCCGCGTAATTTCAGCCCGATCACCAATATGCATAAAACAATGCAAAGATTCGCAAATTTTTTGCAAATTGCGAAAATCTGAAAACTTGCAAATTTGAATTTCTTCGTTTCTTTAAATTCAACAAACTTTAACAGTTTAACTGTTAGAAAATATATTTTTCTTATTGCAAAAAATTTGCAAAAATTTGCAAAAACTGAACTTCGCAATTTTTCATGAAAATAACTTAAATAACCAAGGCTAGTCTATTTTTACGTATTTTTCGAAATTATTTGCGGTATTTCTTTTGGTAAGTTGCAAAAACTTACAATGTGTGCAATTTTTTAATTCAATATTATTATGTAGAATTTGTTTGCAATGTTTGCATGTTTAATTGTTTAACAAATTATCTTTCCCTTTATTCGCTCATATCTGCATATATGACAATTTTTAAGTTTCTCTAAAATGCGAAATTTAAAAAATGTAAACTTTAATTGTTACAAATTTTTGCAAATTTTTTGCAATAAGAAAAATATATTTTATAACAGTTAAACTGATAAGTTTGTTGAATTTAAAGAAAGAAAGAAATTTAAATTTGCGAAAGTTTTCAGATTTTCGCAATTTGCAAAAAATTTGCCAATCTTTGCATTGTTTTATGCATATTTGTGATCGGGCTGAAATTACGCGGACAGGTACAAATATAATTTAATAAGATTATATGAAGTTCATTTCATCATTCGAAAGGCTGGTGGCTATGTTAAAACCATTGGGCAAATGGCAGGTTTTGGTTCAGCTCTCGCCAAATATTTCGCGAAAACGCGATTTTGCACCGCATGTTCTATGACAAAGATTTAGTTTCACTAAATTATCTGTCGATTAAGGCCATTCCGAAGGAAATCGAGAGGTGACAGTACTTAAGGTTCCCTTGTAAGTCACGAGAAGTGAATTTCCGACTCGGGGTTTGGACTATACAAGTTTTGAACTTTTCCACAACTAAAGATACACAAAAGACAAATGTCAACCCAAAAACAAATAAATAATTTATGCTAAATCTTCCACGATACAACAATTGTTTCACACGAGATATGTTCTTCATAACTCTTGTAATCCGCATTAGTTATTTGTTACTTTTAGACAAATGATAACTTACTACTTTCACTAGGGAATGATGATAATATCATCCTCAAAATTTATTTTTTTAATTAAACAACTCAATCCCACAAGAAACATGTGTATAAATAAGATGTTGAATTACTTAAATGAGTGATGATGAAATTGCAATCCTCTTAATTTTATTAAGATGATGACATGTGTGAGCTAAATAAATAAATAATTTTCTCTCGGTTAGATTGGATTGAGTGAGGTGGACATAAATAGGAAAGAAATTACATTATTCCAATCACTGCTTATGCATCTTGCAGCCTATCTTTGTTGTTGTTTTTCTGCTTGAGGTGGGGTGGTATAAAGTACAGTGTTGTAAGTATGACCGGGGGTTACATTAGCACTAATGAGTGAGTCATTGAGTAATCTCTTTTCAAGACACGGGGCTTAGAAGTTAATGAATGTCTGGTAACCATTACGAAAGTGCACGTCTGCATAGAATCTGAAGAAGCAAGTGATTCATAATTGATGAATTTATTGAGAATCTGGAATCTTTTTTTAGCAACCAATCCGAGTTTATGGACAACATATCCTTTTTCAATTACTTAATTTCATGTTATAATGAATTTTACCTGCCACAGGGCTAATTGTGATTTTTTGACATGTTTAAAGTTGAAAATTGTATGCATCTCTTGCCATGAATATGTAACTTATAGTTTAGTTGGCGTATGAATTAAATACCTCTACAATTGTGAAGTTAATTTGAGGTATTTTTCAGAAATTTTCATTTTTCAAATATTTTTTATATTGCATATATTGATAATTTCTGACCTTTTTAATTACCATTCCATATAAATAACTGTTTTTATGGTACCCTCCAACTCTTTGGAGTCTGAGGAAGTCACTTTTAGCTAAATTTTGGCTTCCATGCCCTCAAAAATCTCACACTGCTATGCTCGAAATTTTGGTCGGAAACTCCAAACCGTTCCGGACTTGGAATAGTTCATATTCTAGGCAATTTGAGTATTGTGCAAGATTTACCTACTATGTACACATGTATATTCTATTTGCTATATGCATACTTTTTGCTTGTGCATCATAAGAAAAGACATACCGATCAAATTCTTTCACAGCTCATCTCAAGTGAGAACGAGGATAAACTAGGTTTACATAATTTTTCACATCGTAGCCATCTCAAAGACAGGAATCGTTCCGAAAGATTTACCATCGCTGCAATATTTTGATGGAATCTGTCAGGCTGTAAAATAAACTTGAATATTTTCACGGCCAAACTATTCGACACGGGAAAGTTTGTTGAAATTAGAGTCTTGTATGCACAAATCCGCATTGTCAACCCGGTTCAGTTTGTATTTGGTCACGGTCACGCCACAGAAAGCAGCATCATCAGGAAATTATTGCTGATATTGGAAAACAGAGAGGTAGATAGCGGCGTGTATGTTATGTGGCATTTATCCAAAGTTCATCTCGTGAAACCCTTCATCGATCAACGGAAATAAGCGATAGATCTAGCTCAAGTTCAACCAAGTTTCTCGCCTTCCGAGTAAATTCCAAGCACTCAACTTGAATACATTCAAGTTCCTACATGAAATTAAATTCGATTAATTTATCTGTTTTGAAAATTTCAAATTATTGCAAAGCAATGCGAAACTCTGGCTGACACATATCCAAAACCCGTTTATCCGCGTACACGAGTGTACATAAGAATGCTATTCATTTGCCCTTATCTCCACTTTTTTGTACCATTTTATTTATCCAGCTTTTGATCACTCGTAGTTGTCTCAACTTTTTAATGAATGACATTTTGCATGCAAATTTCTGTTTCGCCTTACACAATTCACGTTATTTTGCAAAGTGGTTAGTTCACTATTCCTACATGCCCACTTACCCACGCAGATGTCAATTGACAAGCAAATTGACATCAATTATGATAGTAAACCTGAAATACATTCGCAATAAAGCGTACAATGTATACCTAACCGGCCATTGTTTTAAATGGATTATATGCATGCCTAACTTGGTGTCGCAAATATGGGGAAGTACATATTCAGTGTCAGTCTAGCGAATTCTGGAGATATTGAACATGTCCAATGTTTAAAGTCGACCAAATTTTCAAGGTCAGATACTAGATCATTCTTTGCTAAGTGCTAAGACGGGTCAGTGGTAATTGTAATTTGCTGCCTACCAAAGTATGTAGA